AAAATTGCTTTGTATCACTTTTGGTCTATATTTAAATAGCTGGTATTATTAAAACTTATTTCCAAAGTGTGTATTATTCTTGATTCATGGAAGATAGTTTGTATTATTTAAAGTTACTTTCCCTTTAAAATTTAATACAGAGTAACTTTTAACAATTTTTATATAAAAAAAACAAGAAATTCCAAAACAAAAATAGCTATACGGAGCGTTTACGAATCTGAAGTTAATATCCGAAATCTAAATACATAGCACGTACAGTGGTGAGGAAGTGAGGATTAGACCTCCGTCATCTGGCCTTTAACATTTTAAGTGGGATTCGACCATTTCTATGAGGTAAGTCTATTTATGAAAGGAAATGTTTAACATGTCTATTTTTGAAAGGAAATTTAAAAACTGAATAAAGTGATATTATTTTTGTTTTTTGGTCTAGTTGTGAAAAATTCCCAAAATAAAATGATGATTTAAAATGAGTAAGGCAATGTGCGGTCTAATGAAGTATTGATAAACTATATTACTCATCACTTAAGTCTGTCACTTTTTAGATTAATTTGTCTTTTAAAAAAATTGACTATCATAATTAGACTATAACAAAATGGATAACGTAAGTTATTACGGACCATTATAGAAATTGTTTACCATGGAAGCAATTAATTCATAAGAGTTGGAACTTATAAAGGGTGGAGAAATCTAACTATAAATTTGATAGATATTGATTTTAGAATTTTAATATTCTAGAAGGTGATTCTGGAGATCGAGATAAATGCGTCCAATATGATATATTGCGAATCGAGGTAAGTGTTTCTGTCAATCAAAACTACTATTCCTCTAGTCAATAGTTTCAAAAACTTATATGTGAATTATGTTCCAAATTATGAGATTTGATATTATTTGAAAACATGTGGAGTATATGGACTTGCTGAAATTACTATTTTACTAGCGTTATTAAATTTGTGACTTTCTCGGTGAGTTTTGGAAACTTTGATAAAATATTTGGATATGAGAAATATGGCTACCTTGTGTACAAAATCAGTTTATTGATCTTGAGAAAGTGTGATTGGGATATTACGTCCTTTTTGGAAAACTAAAATTTGAGATCAGATATTATGACTACTTTTGGAAATATGACAAGTCCTTGTTTATATAAAGATTAATTTTTGAACAACTAGTGATTCTAAAGATTTAATTATATGATCACTAATTCAAAAGATTTGATATGAAATTATATGTATTTGAGGCTAGTGATATATATATACAAGAGTTTATATTTTTTAAAGATTAATATTTCCATCTCATAAACACTTTTGGAAAATTACGATGAATATATAAATACATTTTAAACTACTACATTTAAATGTATAATTATAACTAGTATTGAATCTTTAAAATTATAGATGATTTTGAGAGGTCTTGGTAAATGTATAATACTTATTAGCTAAGTGATATTGAAGATATAGTTACAAATACCTAAATTTTCTAAAATGTATATATAGTTTGCCTCTTCGATAATTGAAATAATTACTATCTTTTTGAAATAATTACTTTAAATATAGTTACATGTATGTGGGACTACTATCTTTTTGAAATAATTACTTTAAATATATGACTAGGGTACAAATGTAAGTTTACCAAAATTTACTATTTTACATCATTAGCAATTTTGAGATGTTTTAATAAAAATATTTATTTATATTATTCCATACTTGAATAATATTACGAGCTTTTGACTATCAAAATTATTATTGAGCTACAAATGATTTTAAGAGATTTTGGTACAATATATAAAATAAACATCTTACTACATAAGTATAACTAGTACTTATTTTTATAGTAATGTAAGTTCTATGTCAATCAAAAATGTTTTATCTCGTACTTATATGTATGCAATATTTGAACTATGTGAATTATTTATGAATTGGAAACTATTTGTTTGACATGGAATGAATATTTTTAATGTATGGATATTGGTGGATTATTATCTATTATGGATTATTAAATGTATATTCTTTTTATTAAAGAATATTGGTGGATTGATATTTATTACAAAGTATATTTTTGGAAAGTGTGACAAGAATGACTTTGGGAAAAACTTAAAGTTTTTCATAATATATTTTTACGTCTCGAGAGAAACACGAGGCGTGGGTGATTAGGACTACTACTACTTTTGGTGAACTATTCCAAGTTTACAAACATTATTTTGAGCTACGAATGCTATTCTTAAATTAGTACTTTGTATTTAGTATGTTGGAAACTATACAGTGTTGAGAAAGTATTTTAGAGAATTATGAGATATTAAGACATTATTTTACTTGCATATGTGTGATATGCTATGAGATGGAATAATTTTTACGAACCCTAAATTATTTGTGTGTGTATTTATTTATGTATTTATGAGATCAAATATTTTACTTGCATTTGAGGAATTGTAAAGTATTTTGAGAAAGTTACGATATGCCCTAAAAAAATAGGGTTTTGAAATGTATTTTGACAAATTATATATATGTATCAAACCTGATTATTTTACGGGGTTGAGTAGACCCTTACTTAGCATTTCAAGCTAATTTTTGTTTTCTTTGTGTTTTCTTTCTGTACTTGATTTTGTACAGGTGGAGACTTGGTGATGTTGATTTCGAGAGCTTCCGCTAGAACACATAGAATAAAGTTGAAAGAGTAATTTATATTAGCATTATTTTAAAAATTTATAGTTGAATAATTAATTATGGGAAATTTATTTCATTCAAATTTATGAAATTGTACTCGTGGTGGGTAGCCTGTGCATTTGGTTATGTGAGAACCGAGTGTGGCGGTAACGCCCCTATTTCCCTTTTAAATTTCCGCTGCACAATTCTGATGTTTGAAATAAAGTTAATACATAAAGTATTATTTAAATGTATTTTTGGGCGGGAGATTTGGGGGTGTTACAAGAGGGACACGTGTAAAGCTACTCTAACAAACTAACAGCCTAATTCGATGGGGAGCAGCCACGTGTAAAGCTGATTGGAGAGAGAATCTTCGATAGCTGGCTGATTGGAGTTTGCTTCTAACAGAACTGCTGCCAGATATCCCGTGTGGCTACGCGTGTGTAACCAAGAATATTCCCTGGTGTTGATGGTGACGTGGCGACACCTCCTTGTGAGGCAAGTCCTTGCGGATTTTGTCTAAGTCCACGATGCTTCATCCAGACCTTGGAGATTACTGAGGTCGATATCTGGGAGCTCGGGCTTGTGATGAGAGGACTCGCCCCTTTGTCCTTTGTTCCCGCCTTTGAGGTAGTTGTTTGACTGGTGCATGTTGACCATGCATTTGACTCTCGGGATCAGACTTGGTATCGAGCTCAGGTGTCTCGAGGTCGGGCTCATAACCGGTCGAGTCTGATCGATTCCTGAGCTTGGTATTTTCCTGACCTCGGTGGTTGAGGTCGGGGTCGGGCAACTTCTCGGTCCTTAGCTTGTTCTGTTGACTCGTGCTTGTTCCCGACCCTAGCTGGTCGGGGTCAGGGTCGGTATAGCTGTGGACTTAGTCTTTTCGTGCACTCCGGAATGGGTCTTTTTGTGGACGTTATTATGAGTTGAGATTATTTTTATACTATTTCATGCATGCATTATAATTGTAGAATCCATGAAAGTATGGATCATTCGTATAAGTTTTGCCAATATACTATTGTTAATTCTTATATTTGTGTGTGTATTTGCTTCAAGTTAAATAATGCCCATATTTAAAATGCAAAAAAAAACATGAAAAGTTAACACCATTAGCTCCCGATTTTTGTGTGGAGTAGTTAACTAGTTGGGATTCTTATTATACACTTTTTCAGTAGGGATTGTTTTTTAAATGTGTAAAATATGAATTATTTGTGTCAATTTTACCTTCTATATTCCATTGTTAGCCTGCTCCTACATGCATGAAGATTGAAAAGATGTTTAAAATCTTCTACTGAAGATAGCATGTTGAAAAGATGTTTAAAAAATTCAACTTACAATTCAAAACCCACGCGGACAGGCTTTATGAATACCGTCTCTTTTGGCATGAATGTGATGATAAGGGAATATGGATATGAAGAAAGCTTTGAATGGTTAATCGGGAATAATAAAGATTTGAATATGTGCCTATTTGGTATATATACTATACATAATACACCATATAGTGCTTAAAAGATCTGAATGTGCATGTGGTATATATATGTACCAGTACACCATATATTGCTTCATATATAATATATTTGCACGAAGAATTCTAATGGGTGCTTGAAAAAAATAAACATACCCTTGATTTTTTTTTTTTACAAAAATTAAACACGTGTTATTTAAAGGGCACTTCCTATTTTCCTGGAACAACCTATTGTAATGAAGAATACAAAGATGCATTTGAAGCTTAGAAACAACACATTCATAGTTTATACTTTCTACTAGTCTCATCAATATTTAGAATTTCTACTAGTCTGTTTAATATTTAACACCTCCTTCAAATTATTTTTGTGCATCTTTTTATATACAAAAGGTAATGAATAATTTTGGACATAAAGCTGGGTTTTTGTTCTCACAAACTTCTCGCGTTGATTTGGTTTATACCTGTACAAACAATAAGGAGATGTGAAAAAAACCATGCATATGAGGATTTTTGTGTACAAGTTAGGAATGCCTTTTTCAATAATATGATCCTTGAACCTGTCTTTCATGGTCCTTTGTGTTGATCAGAGCACAAACGTCCAAAGCATATTTTCATTCATTTTAATTTTTTTGCTCTTTTATTTATTTGCAAGCACTAGTATTCCTTTTTCATTATCTAAATATATACGAGTAATTTATATTGTAATCTCATAAACGTGAAGTGCTGAATTGAAAAATAATTAACTTTAGGCCACATATATAACATTGTGAAGCAATCAAATGAAAGTGTTCAAGAAGAACATTTCAAGAAATCAAAGGATTTAGAATTATTATTATTATTATTATTATTTCAAATGACATATTTCCAATTTATTTCGATGTGTCTTCTCTACTCCATGAATAAAATTTCAAACATGAGAGTCAAGGACATTTGGGTCCTCCTTCTTTTGTCTTCCAATCGTTATAGCAGGAACAACATTCCTTATTCCCATAAGTACCCGGCGGGACACATTGGCACCAATCACAACACATATTGCAGAACTCCAAACAATTGTTCTTGTGAGATGTAGCAGAACATCTTCTATCGCATTCAGTTCCACACTCTTCAATTTGAAAAGTGCAAATAATTAATTATAAATTCATTTTGTCTCCCACTATAATATTTACAATACTATCGTATATATACAAGCTGATAATAATAGTAATAATTATTATGATATATAATAACAATAACAACAATAACAATAAAGATATGATAACAATAATAATAAATTTTCTTTGAAGAAATCACATTAAGTTTCTTAAATGACAAAGAAATATGATAGAGTCAAATTACTTACGACTTCTTGGCACAGGGCAAGTGGTCGGACCAACCGGGGGTTGTGCAAGGAGTGGTGCATCCATTCGCAATTCAACCTATATTTATCATCACATTTTGTATTTAATTTAATCTATAAGCAATTACACTACTATACATTGTTTGTTAAAACTTTTTGTTTAAAATAAAGTTAAAACGATAAAATTGGCTAAAAGGTAAAAAAATGAATCATGAACATAATAAAATATATGAACCATGTATTTTTGTTAAAATACTACATGAATATATATCCTATTGGCAAGATAAATAAAATAGATTATTGGAGTATTTATCCCACACCAAATTATTCTAAAATAGTAAATTACTATACAAGACCTTTAGCTACTCTTTTTATCATTAAATTCTTAAGATTTATTGAACCAAAAATCTTAATATAATATCAGAATAAATTTTGATTTTGGCTCAAGTTGTTCAACCCAATTTGGACTGGGGGGATGTGTTGAGTATTTATTTCACATTGAAATATTATTTAATAATAAACCACTATTTATAAGAAATCGACAATTTGGTTCATTGAGTTAATCTTTTGGAAGAAATTAAACCCTAGCTAGATAGTAAAACACACATATGTACTGGTTCAAATAAAGTGATCTTCCATAAAAGATAAGAATAAATCATCGAATTTATGATTTAATTATTCTAAATTTGCTTACAATGCATTAAATAGGATTAAAATGTGATAACATTTTTCACAAATAAAACTCCTCACCGTAGCAAGTTCACTCCTTGGATGCAATAGTTCAACTTTCAACATGTATGATAAAAGTGCAAACAGAAAATCATGTGAATGAAATAGTGCGTCACTTGTGATTAAAGTGGGTCACTTTATATTGAAATCGGACCTTATATTTGTAAGTGTATATATATATATATATATATATATATATATATATATATATATATATATATATATATATATATATATATATATATATATATATATATATATATATATATATATATATAGGGTTGAGTTTTAATAAGAAGACATCTTAACGTGAGAAGTGAGAAGCTTCACATTTGTCTCTTTCTGATGCACTTTTTCGCTAATCTGATGCACTTTTTGCGATGGCAGAAAAGTTCCGATTAATTACGGATATGCCACCGCGTCTAGCATCACTTTTTTAATATTTTTTGCACTTTCTCGTGCACTTTTTTGCTAATCTGATGCACAGATCTTAAAATGAACGCACCAGATGCATTCTCACTTCTTACGATAAGCACTCTTATCATTTGATCCTTATTTTATATATATATATATATATATATATATATATATATATATATATATATATATATATATGTGTGTGTGTGTGTGTGTGTGTGTGTGTGTGTGTGTGTGTGTGATGCTAAAGGGTCAACTTAAGCAACTAGCCAAAACATTAAAAATAATAGTCTAATAAATTGACTATCAAACATTCAAACGTGTACCAAACTATATATTTCTATAAAACGTTTGAATATATAAAGCTTATTTAACCAACTCAATGAACTATAAATCATAAAAAACATGATCATGATTAAAAATGAGAGTTGCAAATAAAAACAAACCATCGAGACATTGAAGATGAATACTGATGCAACACACAAGAGAAGAAAAGCGTATGGAATCTTGAGAAGGAAATCCATATTATCGTTTTGCGGTATTCCCGGCAATATAATACAATGCTCACTAGTCCCGTGTTTTAACTTATGTTACTTGGAACGCTGAGATACAAAAAAAACCCTACAATGCATCCTATTTATACTATTATACGTATTTCTTCCGCCCGTTTCATAATTGCCGGTTACTATTATGACTTATGAATGTTAATAAATCAAATTGCGCGTCATCAAATAAATTATAATTATTATTCTAAAAGTGGATATATTGTACTATTCAAGTATTGAACTATACCTTTATGGCCAGGCTTTATCTACATGTGAATGGGAAAAATATATTGTACTATTCAAGTATTGAACTATACAACAACAAAAACAAACACCCAAGCCTTAATCTTAAAAGAATTTGGGGTCGGCTAACATGAATTGATCTATGATATCGATGTCAAACAGAGAAGATGGACAAGAAGGGGATTTATATTCAAACCTTTATATGATATATTCAAGTATTGAACTATACAAGAGAGAATAAATTCACCCCTTAAACTTTTTCACGAACGTTTAAATACAAACATTGTACAATTGAAGAATATTTAACTGTTCCAAAAAAGTTAAAAGATATAGTTGTTCATTATTGTATAGTCGAAAGATTTATTTATCGCTTTTTTCAATTTATAAATGACATAGAATTTGTGATTTTGTATAAAAGTGGGCTTAACTGCAAGGCAATATATCCAAAAGAGATGGATAACTTAATTATAATGTAGGACGTGAGTACTTAATGAGTTAATGAGTAATAGTTTTAATAGCATGTGCATACCAAACATTGTTAATATTTATCATAAATCCTAATTAATACAATACTAATTAATAACTTTTCTTATTATAGCCATTAACCCTCTTTAAGAGCGAACTTTGATTTTTTTAGTCGCCTACCAAACATCATTTACTAATGTACCAATGTACCATGACTAAATCATTATCCAAAGGGTTCACTAAAAAACTCATAATATTATCTACACGGAATAAAAGAATATGAACTACACATGTAATTTTTACTAAAAACAGAAAACACGAATCATTTAGATACAAGGAAAAGAAGGAAGTTCTAGTTTGGTGTTTCCTGCTCACGGTCGTACCAGAAAATATCGTAGTTCACATAAACTCTTTTATTACGAAGTATGATATATACTCCGCGTAAATTATATGGTAGAATTGATTGTACCTTGCACACGGTACAACCGGGTATTTTATCTTATACCTAATGAGTATATAGATTGCTGGGACTGTGACATTCCAAAAATTTAAATAAAATAAAATAGATAATTTTGTTGCTTAGTTAAAAACTTTAATTCAAGTAATAAATAATGTGACATTTTGAATTAAATTTATGTGTATAAAATATACACACTATACAAAAGAATAGATTTTTCTAAAATAATATAAACATAAACGAAATTTCAAAGTAGGCCACAATCAGAATACTTACTATTACTATTAACAAATTAAAATACATGAGCGGACACTTACATATGTAAAATACATGACCACACACTTAACTGATACTCCATAAATTATAATATATTGAAAGTTAAACTTGTTAGTTATATTATTTTGAATTATTATATTTTATATGTGCACTTAGTTTATTATATTAGGGTTATGTAATATGTTTAGTGGTGTATGTATGTGGGCATGTTTTAAGGAGGTTTTTTAGTCCACTTAAGCTAACCACCTTCCCACTATTCTTATAAAAAGGAAATGGCATGGAAGAGATGAAACTTGAGATGGGTTTTCCTCCTTTAAATGTTTTAATACAAAGAAGTTTACATACTATCAATTCAACGTACTGCATGTATGAATGTAATGCTTGCATGTCTTTGAATCTTTCATCGAAGCAGTGATGTATTTTATGTAGTAAGTGACGGTTCTAGGCCAACAATTGGTATCAGAGCACACGGTTAAGAGAATCCTACAATCATGAGTACTTCTTCATCAACAAGTGAAGGGGTCGGAGGAAAACATGGTGCCTTTGATCGTGGTGAAGAAGAGAGTAGCAAGTACCAAAGTAAAGAAGGTACGGTTACCCTAAGGTATCCGATGCTGAATCGGACCAATTATGCACCTTGGGCAATAAAAATGGAGGTTTATATGATAGCACAAGGTGTTTGGGATATATCAAGGGATAGAAGAAGATACGAACTGCAAAGGAAGTATGGAATATGCTGAGCACAATGCACTTAGGTGTAGAAAGAGTAATGGAGGTACGTACTCAGTCATTGTCAAGAGAGTTTGATGGAATGCAAATGAACAATTCAGAAAGTGTAGATGATTTTGCTAAAAAATTACAAATCATTGTAAGAAAACTACGTGGCTTGGGGAATGTGGTGGAAGAAGAAAAGGTGGTTAAGAAACTGCTAAGGGGAGCATCACCTAAGTTCCTTCAAATTGCTTCAACCATAGAAGAATTCTGTGATTTAAAGACCAAAACTGCAGAAGAAGTGATTGGCTCGTTTAAGGCTCATGAAGAAAGATTTCAAGGTCAACAAAGTGCAAATGAAGAAAATGTGTTACTCACAAGGGATGAATGGAGAGCAAGAGAAGAAGCCAGGCCTCAAAACTATGGAAATAGAGATCACAATAACTCTAGAGGAATGGGTAAAGGTTGTGGCAGAGGTAGAGGACAAGGAAGGGGTAGAACTGATGAAGATCAATCCCAGCAAAAGAGAAAGTTTGATAAATCAAAAATAAAATGTTACAACTGTGCCAAAATGGGACACTTTGCATCAGAATGCACACAAGAGGAGAAGGAAGAAGAAACAAACTTGATTGAGGAGCAAGTGGATGAAACACCTTCATTAATGATGATTGAAACGTGTGAATTAACTAAATCACATGTTTCATGATGGTCCCTTATGCTTAACAATCAAATAATCGTAGCAGATAAATAAGAAGCAGATCGAAAGATATGGAGATGAACAACGAATCTTGTATACCGTGATAATGGCCGCTGCTCTCCCTCGAGAAGGAGAGCAGTGGAAAACCTACTCTCTATCTCACCTCTATGCTCTCGAACCTCTCCAATTCTTAGGGTTTCCATAAGTTAGCCTCCTTTTATAGGAGAAGTTGGCTAACTTATGGATTACAAAGAAGCTAATGGGATGATACACATTTGTGGACCATATTACACGTTTAACTAATAACTACACAAATACAAATATATTTAATTAGATTGGACACCATAAAATATTCCTAACAATATCCCCCTTGGTATTCAATCGTGTTGAATCAGCATTGCAGCACAGATATCTTTGTCTTTGTTGTTATTCAGCTTCCTTTGTCTTTGAACTTGACTTCTTGAGAAGGCTTTCTGAAGAAATCCTTGCAATCTCCCCTTTGATGTCTTCTTGGCAATTTGAGCTTTGATGACGGGGGTTAAGGAATCTTCCTTTGGCTTGCTTGTAAACCTTGCCTTCAGAAGTACTCTTGATCAGCTTGAATGAAGTCCGGTGGGGCCTCTAGAATGAATGTTCCTGAAGAATTGCATACACACATGGAAATCATCTTCAGAATTCGAGTAAGTGACCTTTGTTTCCTCCACAATGAAGTCTTTTTTACTATTCAAAGTGAATGCGTTTGAGGAGACCTTGTCGGTGGCACAACAGAAAAAGATGGTTGACTTGTGAGCATAGCTGACCATTTGAGGTGTAGAGATAGAAGAGAGTCGTTGAAATTTTTGCTAGGAGAGAAGTGTCCGAGAATGATTTGGTGACATTTAACAGCATGTGGACCACTCTCCCCCTCATGATGATCCGATGAATCGGGGCGTCATGCCTTTATTCTTTTTTTTGAACTGGGAAACAAAATAGAAAAAGAAAACAGAAAGTTAAAATGAAAAAAACCGGATACACTGAGGTGTTCCGTTATCGCAACATCAATGTAAACACGGATGTGGCATGTATAAAATGATAGAAACATTAAAGCTCTAACAGGACTTCCAACCAATTATTGTAAAGCATCCAAAAAGATGTCACTTTGGTTGTTATTTGAATGATCATAAAGATCAACATTGAGAAATTTGTAGCCCCCCGAGGTCATGTAGACACTCGTTATCATCACTATAGAGATAAACTTTAAAGCGATGGCCTGAAAATGTTGGTGATAAGCAATGTTGCAACAACAAGACTTCCTTCCAATCATTGGTCTACATCTGTAATAGATGAGGCGTATGGAAGTTCTAGCGGGTCATGTAGACCTGCAACTGACTCAAAAAGTGTGTCTGTGTCCTAGAAATTTCAAAACATTTGGGAGTGAGGTAACTAGACAAGACGTGAGCAATGAAAGTTCAGTGGCATGGGGCTGAGGCCACTGTAGTCAGTATCACTTGCCTCAGAAGGAGACAGTAATGAGAGATGCGGTTCCCCGTGAAATATGATTAAATACCTGTCTGTTGGGAGAAAAGTGAGTGGTCTTGGGTAGGGTTAAACATGCATTATTGGACAAGATGTAGTGACTTCTACCCGGGATCTGATTAAATAAGGCCTGAACCTATTTGGGAATTGTCCAGAGTATTTGAGTGGCTAGGAGTAAATGTTCAATTCATAACATGCAGTTGAGGTAGCAGACTCATCATTGATTATTGTTTTTCTTGCTCACTCGAGCCTTCTGCTTCCTAACGCTCATAATGTTCACTCACTCACTTACTCTCGGCTTTGTCCCTTGGGTAGGCTTAGTTGGGTTTACTAAGTCGTAGGGACACGTTCTCTCATTAATTTTCTCTCTGTACCCCCCTTTCAACTGGAGCACTCGGTATGCTTTTTCATTGTTAGGCACCGGGGACGATAACATTGAACACTCCCCCTAAAATGTTGCATCCTTTGAGAGATTCCTTGCTTTGTCGATGTAAGGCGCCATGAAGAGAAAACTGAAACTCCCCCTCAGAATGTGCAATGATTGATTGCTCACAACTCGTCATACCCGCCATGTGTGTGGAGCAATCTGAACAGGTACCACGATGACGGTTTCCCTAAGCTCATCATTTAGAATTTCAGCATATTGATGATCACACAATGTTGATGAGTTAGGGGAGGCTTCAATAGTTGATTGT